CCCACTAGCCTACCCCTAACTCTAAAAAAAAACTCTAATTGGCCCTAATTTTTCCGTCAAACAATCGGCAAAACAGTAAATACATCAAGTCCTGTCATGCATTAGCAACTTTTATTTATGTTTTTTTTTTTTTTTTTTTAAGAAAATTCGATTTGTAGGAGATGTTTTTCATATGTTGTGTTGGAGTCTTTGTAAAACTTTTGTTTTTCAGCGGAGATGCGTTGGCGATTAATCTTTATGGAAATGTAAAAATTTGCCATTTAAACAATTTTTTTTTTGAGTAAAATTTAGTCATGAAAATATTAGCGATTATTACAAAAGAATAACATTTTCTCAGGCTTTTTTAAAATAAAAAAATATTCATTATAAAAGTAAATAATGAATTAGCGGCTTGGATTGAGGAATCGAAGAGACGAGTTCGAGTTACCAGTCGAATCCATTACATTCACGTACGTGCTAATACCCTTGGGAAATGTATGAATCCTCTCCCTCTGGGTAAAACAGCAGGACAGACCGGGTTCTATAGCCTTGGTTGACAACTGGTCTACCGCAGAATGAAATAGCAACCTACTGCGGGAAAAATCTGCATCATCAGTCATGTATCGAAAGATACATGATCGCCTATGGCACATAATTAACTGACCGAAATATTCAGTTAAATTGGATAATTCCCTGATTTTTGGCAATTTTAAAAAAGTGCCCCCCCCTCAAATTTTCCTTCGATGGTTTGAGGCTCCCTGGTTGGAAAAATTAAAAAATCGACAGAAAGGACCCCCCGTATCAAAGTTGAATGGGGTGGGTGCACTTGAGGCCTTAGTGCCGGCACTGTATATAGAAAGGAGATTTACATTTAAATTTTGCTAAATAAGCAAAAATAATATATATATATATATATATATATATATATATATATATATATATATATATATATATATATATATATATCCTATCATTATATATTTTTCTATATATATATTTCTATCCATGCAACCTATCACAGCACAACTGAAAATGTTTCCGCATCGTTTATTCAAAAACAACTTTTTTTTTCCAGACAACGATCCGTCGATCCAACCCCCACAACGTAAGAACATAGGATTAGTCAAGTTTAACGCTACTTTTATTTGTACAAGTTACTAGTTTATTTTCTCTTAAAATGAAACCGAAAACTCGGGTTAACATGAGAAGTAGCCAATATCTCAGTGTAAGAGGATAATGGCCAACAAGAACAATGGAGATGTGTTCGAGCTGGAAAAACACATCCAGAAACGTTAAAATTGGTCATAGCGCATCAGGAGACACGACCAGAATTACAATAATAATAGATAGTTCTTTTTTACTAAGACTTAATTACATTATAAATCTAATTGCAAAAGAAATTAACGATTCTAGAAGCTAAATTACATTAATCTTAAGCAACCATCCATAAATAAAAAAAATAAATAAGTATAGTCTGAGACACCGTGTTCATGAATACATATAAAAAAAGTTTACACGGTGGTGTCACATGACTATTTAATTACATTCGATTTAAAAAGAATAAAAACTTGTAATTCCAACGGATAATTTATTGTTAAAACAGATATATTTCGGAAAGCTTTTGAAATCCTTATTACACTTGAGAAACAAAAAAAAAATTCGATCGAATTGAGTTAGCGAGGCATACGTCAGCTGAATTTGCGTGAGAATTTCTTAAAGAAAGAAATGTCATTTCCAAACCAGAGTAGAAAAAAATACTTCTAGTTTTTTCGTATTTTCCGTTGAAGTAATTTTTTCCGTTAATTTGAATTTATATCGTATACAATGTAGATTAATCACTGTTTCATTTATTTCTCAAGAGTGATCAAGGATTGCAAAAGTTTTCCCAAATATATCTGTTTTAACAATAAATTATCCGTTGGAATTACAAGTTTTTATTCTTTTTAATTCAAATTCACCAATGGAATCAAGAGTTTTTACAATTATACATTTAACTTATATTTTTTAAAAAATGACGCCCTTTCTAAATACAATGATACAATCTATTTCTTAAAACACAGTTATTTTTTCTCACTTACAATTCCTGATGATGTCACATGTTAGTCGAATGTTTGAACTACACAACACGAATTTTTGATAATTTATCCACACATAAAAACTGTGGTGAAATTATATTCGTTTTTTTTTTGTTGTTTTTTTTTAATCGAGCTAGCTCGGATATTAATCAGTCTATCATGGCCATTCATCCTGCATCAACGTCGCAAGGTCGTTAGGCGGGGTGCATACTGTGTTTCTACATATTTGGTCAATGTAGGTGGTGGCTGGACGACTAAACCGTCTAACGTCATGGCTAGGTGTCCAGAATAATAGATCAATCACGAGTTCTTGTTTTGCGCGACATCAGTGCCTTGCAAAATGCATTCTACGTTAAGGTAAGATTGGAGAAATATCAGGGATGAGTCTACAGAGCTGTGATTTTGCTGGATGTTGTCTCCAAGAGATGTTAAGTATAACATTCGAATGGAGGTTTCATCATGGTTAGATTCGAGAGTTTAAATTAATGTCCAAACAGTGGCACCGTACATTAACCCGACTCTACAGCAGCATGAATAAAAATGGACGTAATCTGGAAATCTGATCAACTAGAAAACCTCAAATGGAGATTTTTTTCATGCTACTGTAGAATCGGTTTAATGTATGGTGCCACTGTTTGGACATTAATTAGAACTCATTTATTTCACTTGTTATTATCAAGAATAACATTGATAGACGACGCAATATTAACCCAAATAAATATGACCTATTTCACTGCCCCAGACATACTAACAGCCATAAAATCTCCTGAATTAAAAAGTAAGAAAAAAGAATTTCCAACGAGTCGGTATTGTAGGTATTGCGAAAACATTCTTGTCTCTTTCTATACTTAACATCTCCAATATGATATTTCTCCAATCTTACCTTAACGTAGAATGCATTTTGCAAGACACTGATGTCGCGCAAAACAAGAACTCGTGATTGATCTATTATTCTGGACACCTAGCCATGGCGCTAGACGGTTTAATCGTCCAGCCACCACCTACATTGACCAAATATGTAGAAACACAGTATGCCACCCTAATGATCTTGCAACTTTGATGCAGGATGGGTGGCGTGATAGACTGAAGAATATTCGAGCTAGCTCGATTAAAAAAAAAACCATATAATTTCAGTTTTTATGTAGGAATACATTAACTAAAATTCATGTTGTGTAGTTCAAGCTTTCGACTAACATGTGACATCATCAGGAGATCTTAGTAAGAAACAATAAGTTTTAAGTAATAGCTATCCGAATTTTCACATCCTTTTCAGTAGAATTTATTTCGCTTCCTAGGTATGTAAAAGATTCAACATATTCTACTGATTCACCTGAAAAAGTTTGTATTGAGCCATGCTGGTGTCTATTAGAAAAATGATCCCTTAAATTTAACCGGCATAAAATTTCCTTCGTTTTAACAATACATGTTTAAAGGCATAATTGCTGTGCAAATATATCGAATTTGGTGAAATCATAGCCGATAGAATAAATAAGTTCTACATTAAAAGGTTTTTCCCTAAGCACATAGAAATAAATAATGAAAAAATGTGAGAAACCGGCTCACACCTTTTGTTGTTTGATCCCATTTTCAGTTTAAGTCGGCTTCCTTTTGAACATATAATAATCCTTATAAGTAAGTGAGATGTTTATAATGGCAAAGGTGACTGAGTGCACGAATGCGCCAATAAAAGGTTAATAGCAGTTTGAATTTTATTAGAAAATATATAGACACAAATTTCGTGACATTAAACGATATTGATATGACGACGATCGCAATGGTGGGTCTTAAAATTGGAGTCGTTAATTTTGTCTTTGGCAAGAACAACAAGAAATATTAATATTGCGTCGTCTACCAATGTATAAATGAGTTTTCTTACTTTGATATACTAAATTAGAGTCTTAGTGGGTGTACGGCGTACGTATAGTTACCCTTTACCCTTATACGCTTGCATTGATCTGAACATACAAAAGAACCATTGAACGTACATTTCCGCGTCTCATTCTACGTAAATGCATATTCTGGTTCAATCCCAGCCAGAAAGAGGAACTGAAAATCGGGAAAAAATGAACTAGTAAAGACTGTGCCTTGGCTGTATTTATACCTTTGGAGGAAGAAGAGGTGGTTTTATAACTTTGGAGGAAGAAGAGATGGTATTATACCTTTGGAGGGAGAAGAGGTATATTTATACCTTTGGAGGGAGATGAGGTAGGTTTATACCTTTGGAGGAAGAAGAGGTAGATTTATACCTTTGGAGGAAGAAGAGGTGATATTATACCCTTGGAGGGAGAATAGGTATATTTATACGTTTGGAGGGAGATGAGGTGGATTTATACCTTTGGATGAAGAAGAGGTAGATTTATACCTTTTGAGAGAGAAGAGGTGGATTTATACCTTTGGAGGAAGAAGAGGTGGTATTATACCTTTGGAGGGAGAAGAGGTATATCTATACCTTTGGAGGGAGATGAGGAAGATTTATACCTTTGGAGGAAGAAGAGGTAGATTTATACCATTTGAGAGAGAAGAGGTGGATTTATACCTTTGGAGGAAGAAGAGGTGGTTTTATACCTTTGGAGGAAGAAGAGGTAGATTTATACATCTGGAGGAAGAAGAGGTAGATTTATACTGTTTATTGGCTGTATTGATAACTTTCAACGTACAAAAAAGTAGGTTCGACCAGGGAAATTCCTCAAGACCGACTTACTTATTTCACTGCCCCAGGAACATACGAACAGCCATAAAATCTCCTGAATTAAAAAGTAAGAAAAAAGAATTTCCTACCAATCGGTTTTGTAGGTATTACGAAAACTTTCTTGCCTCATTCTTCAAAAATCAAAATAAAGTGAAAAATAAACAAAAATTTACAGAAGCCAAGAAGATAAGGCTGATTTTTTTAAAATCTGTTTATTAAATTTACTGCTCAGTACACTATTATACTAAATTAGGCCGTCGGCCACTTCACGTTGAAACTCCCAGTTCCTGTACGATCACTTAAGTTAAGCAACGCCGAGCCTGGCCAGTAGCTAGATGGGTGACCACTTGGGAATACCAGATGTTGTAAGCTTAGATGTGCGGGTGGTGTAATGGATAATGGCTCGAAATTGTTAATCGGGGAACCAAGTTCCAACTCCCAATATTTCGTTATATTCACATACGCACGAATGCATTTCGGAAAGATATGAATCTACCTCTTTTTCCTCTAAAGGTATGTATCCACCTCTTCTTTCTCCAAAGGTATAAATCTACCACTTCTCCCTCCAGAGGTTAAAATCCACCTCTTCTCCCTCCAACAGTACGAATTTACCTTTTTTTTCTCCAAAGGTATGTATCCACCTTTTCTTTCTCCAAAGGTATAAATCTATTTCTTCTCCCACTTGAGGCTAAAATCCACCTCTTCTCCCTCCAACGGTATGAATCTACCTCTTTTTCCTCCAAAGGTATGTATCCACCTCTTCTTTCTCCAAAGGTATGAATCCACCTCTTCTTTCTCCAAATGTAACAGAGAGAGATTGACGCACATGAATGCACACGCGCAAATATAACGTTTATTGATTGAAGATGAAAAACACGATCTTCCGTGAAAGTTACAAACTGTGTCAGCGCTATTAATAGGAAGGAATCTAGAACAATGAAAACCTGAGACGGCTGATGGATAAAGAATAAATTTCAAATCGGGTTGGCGAGGACTTGTTTATAAACAAATGCAAAAGGGCAGGAGGTGATGTTTAATTTGGGTCATTAAAAAAAAATCGACGAAAATAATATTTTTGATAAAAACATATTGATGTAAATTGGACCGGGGAGGTAAGATCAGTGTATGTTTACCGCTAGCGAAATCTGATCTAAACATAAGTTGTATCCGCTGAATTTAGTCATCCAAAAGACAATTGAAATGAACATCGAACTAATTAATTTTATCCACGAAGAGATTTGAAATAGATCTTAATTTAAACTTTGCTTATGGCGACACTCGTGTTAAGCGCGCGAACAACCCGGCTTATAACCTTCGGTTTGCTATATAAACGCGAGTTTTGCTGAGTTGGGGAGACTTGGGCGTTAGACGAGAGTGAGGTTGAGAGAGAGAGAGAGAGTGAGAGAGAGTGACGTTGAGAGAGAGAGAGACTGTCGTTGCAGTGAGTCGGTCCAGTGGCGAGATAAGGAGTTCAAGAAATATCATCGTCGTTGTAGCAGTCGCATTGAAAAGTTGCTGAAACTTAACGTTTGTCACTTACAACAACCAACTGAAAAGCTACACTTCCACGTAGGGCTGGAATTACGAGTCACATATCCTCCCAAGTTGATTTGGAACGAGTTAATCACACACACACACACACACACACACACACACACACACACACACACACACACCTCTCTGTTTGTATAATTGGTAGAGGAGTGGTCCTCTGTTCTTATGTTAATTGCTTTTCTATCCTTTCTGTAAACTCTTTCTACTGTTATTGTTTTCTTATATAAAAGACATCAATATTTTACCCATTGTCGTTCGGCTTCTGCAGATATTATTTCCTTCTTTGCCAGACACTAATTTTCCTGCCTCCCACTCTCACAGCCGTGCCTACATCCCCAATCGACCGTGAACGTATGGACAACACCCCGCTTACTGGATCTAAAAACTAACACAACGTGGACAACAGGCGGAACTTGGCCAGTAACCGGTCGAACAATCTACGGGTACTCAGGGAGCGTAAGGCCAGCTACCCCTGAGTTCGATTCAGACCGAGTGGGCGCCTCAACCCAAAGAGGAAGACGCCAGAGGTTGAGGAGCTGAAGGGACGAGTGGTAGACAAAGGTATAAATCTACCTCTTCTCCCTCCAGAGGTTAAAATCCACCTCTTCTCCCTCCAAAGGTATGAATCCACCTCTTCTTTCACCAAAGGTATAAATCTCCCTCTTCTCCCTACAGAAATATAAATCGACTTCTTCTACCTTCAAAGGTATAAATATACCTCTCCTCCCTCTAGAGGTATAAATCCACCTCTTCTGCCTCCAGACGTATGAATCTACCTCTTCTACCTCCAAAGATATGTATCAACCGCTTCTCCCTCTAAAGGTATGAATCCACTATTTAATTAATAATACTTGTACCGCTAAATTATTATTATCTAAAAAAAATTCTTACAATCTAAAAATATTTTCTGGCTTTAAATAACATGTAAAGTGTTGATAAGCCGTAGAAAACGAATCAATTAATGTACTAAATTAGAAATGTTACAAATGGCGCAAAAGTGACATTAAAGCCATCTGAAGCTGGTTGACACAAACCCATTACACGCGGAGTATGACTGAAATAGCGGCAAAGTACAACTACTCGCTTAGAGACAATCTTATTTTCTTGAAACGGAACTAGGTCGTTAAGTGAAGTATTTATTTTCAAGAGTTTCTTCACCTAATATTGGGGTTGTCCGTATGTGTGTGTGTGTGTTACCGTCTCTCCCCGACCCCACCTACCTGCAAGTGCCTGAGTATCCGTGCGTCTTCCTGACTGTGCGCAGGTCTATGGTAAAATGTCAAAATGCCATTAACGCCTGAATATCAAATTTTATTAAAATGAGGTAAAATTTTTAATGGGACATTCTGTCATCATATCTTGTTTAAATTGGATGTTCTGTCTTAATAAATCTCACGGAGATCTCTGCGTTCATGGCTTTTTAATGGAGTGTTTCGCTTTTGAACCGTTTCAACTTTTTCTATATTTTCGTCTTAAGAAAATATCTTTTAGTAACAATCATTTATGAATTTCTTTAAACAGTCTTGTTTGTTTGTCGAGGTCGTTGTAAATCAGTACTTCTCAACCTTTTTTTTATGGACCACTTTTACACTTCATTTTTTTTGGGGGGGGGACCAAAATAATCATTCGTTGAAAAAAAAAAGCTTATTTTATTTTTTTACTAAATAGATAAGTTTAGGAATTGTATCATTGTTGTCACCTAGGGAAGGTTACTGAATAGAATAATCACACGAAGGTTGGTAATGAACGATAATACTTAGGACAAGAACAACACATATAAGATTCGCCAGCGGCGCGTAGAAGAAATATTTGCACATAGCCGGGACCCTAACAGGTGCTACCACCCCGGGCCAGGGTGGACCTGGGAACAACAACAATTAAGAGGTGGTTTTATGCTCCTCAAAACCTCCAATCTCCCGATCAGAGGCCTTGTGGCCGGATGTAGTTTATCGTCATACCCAGGACTATGGGAAACATCGTAACTATGTACGTTTTCCAGGATGAGAACATTTTTTTAAATTTTAACCATAAACGCATGATAAAAATAATTATTAATATTATATCCGAGTCCTTCTGCATATGTTTACTTTTAAATTTTTTTTTTTTTTCAATTTAATGATGCTTTTTATTTTACATGTAAAGAGATTCCTGGAAATGGATGGGTAGTAATCCACAATACAATATGAAACTATCCTTTACAACATGGTCGAGATGTCTCTGAAAATGATCTAAAACTGATTTTACAGTGGCATTGGAATTCGCCACAGAGTACTCCGATCTTTCAAACGAGGAACTGGACATTATTATGAACTCTAGAAAATCTGTCCTTTTCCATAACAAAGAAAAATGTATAAAAATAATGCAGTTGGCCAATTTGATATTGCAATGGGATCGTTAAACTCGGCTGAGTCTTCCGACTTTGTTAGTTTGTTCATTTTATATAAATTAGTGTCCGCCATGATATCAACATAGAAGACATAGGTCTATATAGAGATGACGGCCTTTTGGTGGTGAAAAGTTCTACAAAAATTAAAATTGACAAAATCAGGAAATTGATACATAGGGGATTTAAAAGTCTAAACGTGAAACTTATAATAAACACAAATTTTTAAAAAATTAGGTTTCCTCGATGTAACACTAGATTTAGTCTATAATACATACTAACCCTACATGAAAACCAATGCAAATCTATTATATATCCACCCAAATCCAAATCACCCTCCGTCCATAATCAATCACATACCCTCGTCCATAGAATATAGAATCAGTAATAACTCTTCTAGTGAAGATGTATTTTATAAACATAGCAAATTTTATAATACTGCTTAAAAATAGTGGCTATAAGTGCCCTGACTTTAAATATAGGAAGCGTAACAGTGTTAGTAAGAAAAAAATAGAAACAGAAATTTCACTTATTATACACCCCCATTTAACCAAATGGTTAGTATTAAGTTAGTACAGAAGTTTTTAAATTTAATTGAGAAACACTTCTCTAGTAATAATCTTCTTAGTAAAACTTTTAATAAAAATACACTTAAATTAACCTGAATGTCCGAGAGATTTTCATAGAAAACATTCGACAGGATTCGAACCTGCATCCTATACGGAACCGTTATTTACGCTGACGTGCCTAACCTCTCGGCCACAAAGGATCGTTTGGTTGGGAAGGTCGAATTTACTGCTTATAAACTTCAATCTTCCTGGCGTATCAAATGTAAACAAATGACGTCATATATTAAGAAATGGACAAAGTCCGACAATTTATTTATTAAAGACATATAAAAAGAACGTTAAACATAAAAATGTCTTTAATAAATAAATTGTCGGACTTTGTCCATTTCTTAATATACTTAAACCTAAGTAACAATAGCCATCCCAAAGCAACAAACAATAATGATACCAACTTCTGTAATTGTAGAAATCTTAACGACTATCCAGTACAAAAAAGATGTCTAACAGATTCTGTTGTTTACCTTAGTACTATTTCATCTAGAGAAAGTCCAACAGATAAAAAATTTTATATAGGTATTACCAAAAATTCCTTTAAAACTTGATCATCTTTCAACAAGAATGCGTATCGTAACAGAACGTCCCTTTCTAAATATTTTTGGCACTTAACAGAAGTTAACAAAAGTCCTATGGTAAAATAGAAAATATTAAAAATAACTAGAGCCTGTAAATCCTTACATGATCCATGTCCCCTATGTTCACAAGAAAAATTGCATATTATGTTTCCTAACAATAAAAACCTGGTAAACCAAAGAAATGAATTAACGCTGCTATGCTGCCATTGTCTACCTTTTACCATAAAATGTA